TCTAGCTATTCTATTATGAATATCCATAGTATATTGTTCACTTTATATTATAGTTGTTGCTTATTAATATATAACTAATATAACTAGCCTACAAACTAATATTCTCAAACATAAATACAAGGGACAAACCTCTTGTATTTATACACTTACACCTTCGGTTAAACTTGCCATTATTCATTTATCATGGCGGCTAACTTTCCAGTTTTAGATTACTTAAGATGCCTTATCATGATAAGACTCTTATCTCTTATCACTCAATCCTTATTGGCCTCGGCATCTTATCTCAACCCTAAGATACCTTATCATGATAAGATTCTTATTTCTTATCCCTCGATCATGATTGGCTTCGGCATCTTATCTCAACAATGAGTGTATAAATAGGAGAGGTTTTGTCTCCTATCTGTGTTTAGAATCATTAGTTATTAAGAGTTGTATAAGGTTTTTTAAATAAGTAACAAGTATAATATAAAGTGAACAATACACAATGGATATTCATAATAGAATAGCTAGATTACAACAGCTAACGTTCCAGTTTTAGATTACTAAGATGCCTTATCATGATAAGATTCTTATCTCTTATCTCTCGATCCTTATTGACTTCGGCATCTTATCTCAACAATATTTATGATTGAGAGTATTAGTTTGTAGGTTGGTTATATTAGTTGTATATAAATAAGCAACAAACATAGTATTAAAAGGTACTACTAACAATGGATATTCAATCTAGAATAAACAGATTACAACAATAAGACATTAGATAATCTAATATTGGATTGTTCTAAGCTATCTATCCTTGCTGATAAATCTATAATGTATAGTCTTTATTTGTTATAAAAATTGCTTACTTAATATAGATATTATATAAAACTTACCAGCAGAATCAATATCTCATATAAATACAAGCAGCAAACCTTTGTATTTCCGGATTTTTTATGTCAGTCATTTGTTCTTTATGTAGTAATTTTATCTTATCATTTTTATAACTAATTACTTATGACTGGTCCGCTCTCAATTATGACGTTCAATCTCAACAAGGTGTTAATAAGCTATATATATGTAATAAATAAGTAGCAACAAACATTTTAGATAAAGACTTTATACTATTGACATACTAGCAAAGGTTGATAAACCAAAAAGAAATTAGCTATCAAGATAAGCAATCAGTGATAGCTAGGATATATGAGATTGTAGCATAAGAAAGAGAATAACTATGAGGCATTCAAGTAAATTAGAACACGTAGATCTAAATATGAATCTGTCAGTAAATCATATAAAATATATATTATAAAATTAGCCAAGTAAAAGAATAAAAGTATTTAAACATGAGTATGCTAGCAAGACTCAATAGACTTTAACAATTCTGTTTGTTCTTTGACATTATGGCGTTCGAATGTTATTTCCAGCTCATGTTTACTTAGCAAGTAGGAGCACAATAATATTCTGATGAGATTGATGAAGTATAAGCTGAGATAGCCATGTAAATGCTCAGGTTTGAAGTCCAAATTTTGAAAGTTACTTTATTAGTGTTTGAGAAGAGAATTAGTGTTGGCACTTAAAAACAAGGTTAAGTTATCCATCGTCGGACTTTGGAATGTCAGATTGAACTACTAGCACTTATTTTTTTCACGACCTTATTACGCTTTTTGTTTTAGGATCAATTCAATTAATCTGGCTGAAAAAAAATATTCTAAATTTAAAGCGCACTTAAAATTAAACAATTTGAGTTCACATACAGAATACTTTATTAGTAGGAAATTAAACATACTTTCTCAAAAGGATCAAGGCATAATGTAACAAGATATCATGTAGAGAAATCAGCAATTTTCTTTGGTCATTTTCGAGTCGAGAGTGAAGACTTGTTATCCCCAAGCTCAAGCTCGATTCTCGACTGGGGAGTTACTCCAGGTTATCAACTTGATAATCCATTTCCTACCATCTCGTTTATTACCAGCATCAGCTTTGGAGTAAGCTTAAGGATCTATGCAACAGATATTGATCACAGAAAAACAGCCACTTACTCAACTCAACCCAATGAAGTTTGGAATCTCAAGACCAATTTTTTTGTAGTTGAGGCAAGTATGATATTTGATACGGTCAGGAAAACTGATATACTCAGAGTGTTTCAATTTTAAGCATTGTTTTGGCACTGGTTACAGTTTGAACTTCTTTCACCAGTATTTAGCAACAATCTAACTTTGATGAGGTGTACTTAAATAAATGGAAACCTGTGTTGAGTTTCAAAGAGTCAGTCAATTTGCAAACTTATTGGACAAATAATAAAAGATTAGATTGAATTTTGTTGCGTGGGATAACCTATATGATTACTCTATAACTGTAAAAAGTATACAACATTTTGAGTTTATTAAGAGCTATACTTAATAACAAACCCAAGAGATATAAGTTACATATTAAGAATATATCGGCCCCAATGAACAGCTTTTAGCATGTTGCCAATGCAAAGTTCTACCTGCTACAAAGCAACAGCTTAAACATTACTTGAAAAGTTCTTCGATTGATTAGTAAGAGATATTTTGTGAGTGGAGGTAATGATAATTAATAAAACTAGTATAAAAAACCCTATAAATGGATGAATGAATGTATGAGAAACTTTTTTCTGTGTATTTGAGTGATCAGTTGGAAGATGATTTTTTCCTGCACACTAACTGGTCTCGTTTAAATTCTGTTTCGGAATCGAAACTTTTCAAGCAAAGTTCACATCTATATTTTCTAAAATGTATCTTCATGTGCTTGTTTAGACTAGAAGATTCCTTGATTCTTTTACCACAAATTTTGCAGACCATAGTTTGGCACTGCTATGTATTCTCAGGTGTGTTGTCAGACTGGATGAAGTCTTGAAAGTTTTGCCACAAAGATCTCACTTGTATGGCTTTTCACCGGTATGTATTCTCATATGCTGTTTCAACAGTAGATCGAGCGAGAACTTTTTTCCACATTCAAACGGCTTGTGCTTTGTGTGAGTGTTCAAATGTCTTATGATTTTCTGCTTTGTAAGAATGGCTTTTCACCCCTTCAGCAATCCTTCCAGTGACAGGTATAACTTGATTTACCTGATTTTATGTGGGAACTAATAATATGGTTGGTCAGATCTTCTGTCAGATCAAAATGCTCACCGCATTTAGATTTTGTTTCTGGATTAACTCAATGACAAACATGAATATCGCTGTCTTCTTCACTGTCGTCTAAGTTTGTTCTTTTCAACAACTCAGTATGTTTGAAAACGAAAATCACAGTGATCTCATCCACAACGCAGTTGCATATTTGACTGCTTGATTTCATTTACTCTCTTGTCATCAATATCTTCACCATAACAACCTGGAGACAAAGAAAAAGAAACTGCAAGTAATTCTTGAAAAGATGAGTATCCAGCCCATCGGAATCTATTTGAGTGGTACATTCATTCCATTTACAGACCAGTGGATCATTTTTGATCAGTTTAATGTCCTCCATTTTTACCTCAGGGTTTAGGCTCCCATTGGAGGTATGTCCAGCTTGTTTGTTGGAGTGAAAATGTCCTTCGTGAGAAAAATCATTGTTTTTGTGATCATGATGCTGCAAATGATGATGATGTGTTCCTGGCTTTCAGAGAAGAATTTCCATGGCATACTCCATCCAGAGATTCATGGCATTTTTTCTGAGATGCAAGTTTCATATTGTTGTGCCTGTGGCACTTGTTCGGATGAGAGTACTGTAATTTTTCCACTTTCATTTCTGGATCATCAAAAATGTAATCCAGATTACAGATTGAAGATGTTAAGGAGTCGGTACAGTCATTTGGATCCAAGTCCAGGCTTGGTAAAGTATCAGGGGAATTATTATAGGGCTTCTTTTCATTCCAACTTCACAGTCAGGTAAAATAAAATAGTGCTTTATTTTTTGTCCATTTATTTCGTCCTCGAAGTGTAAATAATGATAATGATCTACTTGGTTGTTGTAGGAGCAACCATTTGCATTATGGTGATGAAAAATGATACGTGGGTATGCGATCGAGATGAATCGTCTGGATTGCGATGATGGAAATGCAATAAATGATGATAAATTCAAGCTCCAGGAAAAATTTATCTAAAAACCAGTCACTGAATTTTCGATAGATTAAATTACAAACTAATTGAAGCTCTTTTTATCTTATAAGCGAGCAATTAGTTAGCTGCAAGTGAATTGGTTTGCCTTTTTTCTCCAACATCGGCAAACTGACAGCAATTTCCCAGGTTCCTTTACTAATTTGTTATCACTCATTTATAGCTTTGCTGCATAATGGTAAACTTACGCTAACTGGAATCTTAGTTAATAGCAAACACCGAGCTTGATATCATATTTTTTTATACTGAGCCAAATAACATTAAGTGCAGATTTTAGCCTGCCAAACACAAATTTCCATATAGACAACAAATTTTTAATAGTGGGACTCCAGCATTAAAGGTCACATGCTGTATACAAACCGAAATTTGCAAAAATAAATAGTAGAATTTCATCAAAAAAGGTCTAGTTAGCTGTTGCTAACTAAAATAAGTATATAAAAATTTTTCATACTTCTGCAGAGGTTCTGCTGAATTGCCAATTTTTTGGTTTGGTTTCATTAACATTTAGTTACAACGATTCTGGTATTTAAATGCTTCATCTTTGGAAAAAGGAGCCAAATATCAAACCACAATGTTTTTCAAGCTTCGTAAAGAAAAGGAATTGATTTGAGTTTAGCAAACAGTAAGAATCATTTACAGTTCTAGAAAAAAATGTGTAACTAGCCGAATGTAGAATAGGCAGAAATTATAACGTGATTTATCTGAAAGCAAAAGAAAACCAACATAAAACATAATTCCAAGCGCTCACGCTACCTGCGACACTGAATATTCGGCATTGTACAGTTACCTAAAATAATAGAGCAAAATCATTTTGAAAACAATATTTTCATTTTGCAATTCACTTCGGTCTTTGGTCAAATAGTTTGTTCAAACTAGAGATGTAAAACCATTGCGCTTCCATCCTTAGTAGAAAAGGCGACTGCAGTGCTTTGAAATGTATAAATATTCCTTATACTATGGAGCTTTAAAGACGGTTTGGTTTAGAGACTGATGAAAGCTACGCAAATTTTCTTAACTTTTGAGGAAAAAAAAGCATTTGCTTTTCTGAATTTATTAGAATTTTTACATTCACATCAGAAATGCCTCTGGCTGGGCTACGTTTACATAATTTCTTCAGCCTCTAATGCCAATTTTTGCAGAGGTTTTTTGTGATCAGTTGAAGTCGGTTTCTGATCATCTGATTTTCTCTTTTGAGACACAACCTTGGCTTTTACAGCAATTTACCTTACGAAACAATAGAAAACAAGTGATTGCTTTGGAACATAGGACTGAAACTCGAGGCATTTCGAGATGATGGCAAAGCAACACTACATAAACAAAGAACATGATTTTTATTTTGGTGTTTTGAAGAAGACAAAAAATAAAAATAGCAAGATTTCCAGCTTGGTTAACAACACAGTTGGCAATGAGAAAATCATTCATAGAAATATCCTTGAAAATATTTTAGTGTAAGTGCTTGAACTGGAACGTGAAACTTTTTTAAAGGACCTTAGCCAGCTTTTCAAGAGATTTGGTGGAATATGTAAGTGATGGCAATCCAATCGATTGGAAGACTTTTTGTATTAAACCAAATGCGAAATGTGATTAAGCTGAGAAACAAATAACATTTCTTTCAATGAGTTCTTAAATTTGTCTCTGTAAAAGCAGTGGAATTGCAAAAATTGTCTTTATCTAAATTTTGAACTCGTCGTATTTTGCTCCAAGTGATCCCTGCTATTATTTTAACAATTTAGACATAATAGCTCTCTAAAATATTGCTATGTTTATGTGAAAAATTACTCATTAGCGTACGATTTTAGTATTTCTGGCTGATACCCGAATTGCCATCCTAGTATACTGTAGTTCACCAGCTCTATTTCGTGCTTGTTAAATAACTTCTTGATTAGTGCGGCAAAAATAACTTGGTTTAACTTTATGATGTTTAAGATACAAAAATTAACTTAATGCAGAACTAGGTGTGCGGGGCCTAATAGCCCAGTGTGCTTATAATTCTTTGCTCTGAATGAATCCAGTGAGAAAATTCACTTTGTGTTAGTGGATTGCTTTACTGTAGTTTGAATAAAACTGTTTAGGTTAATCAGGATGCATGATATATTTAAAGTTTAGTTTCCATTTATTTCGATTTTATGTGACTTATTGACAAACTCAAAGGAAAAAACCTCATGTTTTTACAGACCTCTTACGTTGGTAATTGTTCCTTTTTAGATCACCTAAATGTTTTATGATCACAAGGATCTGATCTTTATAGTGTAATCTCGTAAATGTTGAGATACGATGCCGAAACCAATAAGGATCAAGTGATAAGAGATAAGAACTTTATAATGACAAAGCAACTAAGTAACCTAAAACAGGAAAGTCGAGTCGATGTTATGAGTGTATAAATACAAAAGGTTTGTCCCTTGTATTTATGTTTGGAAGCATTAGTTTGTAAGTTAGTTGTATTAGAAATATATAAGCAAGCAATAAATATGGTTATAGATATACTAAAAACTGTATATACTTCATCTAAAATAAACAGATTACAGTAGTAAATTCATCTTATCACCTCATATCTTTTATCTCATCTTTATAATAGTGATGCAAATGGAGAAGTAATGCTAGGCGATGATAATTATGGAAATAATAAAGGTGGCAACAATATTGATAATGGCGAGGAAGATGCAGATTAGGAAATAAATCACTAGAAAAAAAAGAAATGAAAGCCGAAGTGAAAGAAATGTTACTATGCTTGATTAATCATGACATTTGTTTCAATAGTAAAGACTCAGAACAGTTTAGACTTTGGTCATAGATTCCCTGTTGTTTGAGTTGTATATCAGTATTAAATATGATTGCAGTAATGGGGCAAAATATGCAAGCCGTCATGTTTAGTGCTTTTTTGCTAAAATCAATTTTCTATCCTGGAGCCAACGCTAGTTTCTATAAAGCACAGATCTTTGGTCCTTAATATTAGTTTTTATTTGCGCCCCGTAAGCTTTAGCTGGACTAAATTTAGGAAAGAATAAAGGACACGAGGTGGAGTATCTATAATTAAGTGGAAGTTATTTGTTCAAACTTTGACCAATAAAGTGGAAACTGTTGTAGTCAGTTTATTCTAGATTTATTATCCATTGTTTGTAGTATATCTTAGTACTATGTTAAATAATTATATATTGATCTAGAAACTATCTTTTTATTATTTTTATCATATCATTCATCATGTATAATATTTAATTTCTCATAAGTTCAATGAAAAGAATAGTTCATGGTTTTGGTATATCTCAAAAATTAGATTTAATACTTTTATATAGTATAAAATATATTTTTCATATAAAAAGTAATATATGTTATAAAGAAAAACATAATTATTATTTATTAGATACTACTAATTCTAAAAATATAGAAATAATAATAAATTATTTAATTACAGATGATTATTCAACTTATTTAAAAGGAATAAAAAGTTTTGAGTTTAGTTTATGAAGACGTAGTTATTTAAAATATAAAGGGGATTATAATAGATAAGTTTCTGCATCAAATAATATTTTATAACAGCTTATCACTTTGACCACTGTTCATCCTGTCCCTGGTCCATTTTCTATTAAAGCACTAGCTATTAAACATACTAAAGCTGGATTTGTTGCTTATTTATATATAACTTATATAGCTGACCTACCAACTAACACTCCCAAATATAAATACAAGGGACAAACCTCTTGTATTCATACATTTATTGGCTTCGGCATCTTGTCTCATCAAAAACTACAAGAACTCAATTCGCAGTCCCAAGTAACAAAGAAACATTTTCCAGTAGGAAGTTGTAGTAATTATTGTTACAGATTGAAATAACTTTTTACCCGAGCTGGTCTAATGAAGGATGGACCTTCGTTTTGTTGATATTTCGATGTATTTTCTTAAAACATATTTCTTGTTGTAAACAAACCATCAAATAAACCAATAAATAAAGTTTGTAATTTGTAATTACTTAAAAGTATCTTGAATAATTTTTTTTCTAAAATGTTTTCTTCCAAGCTTTACTGCCACAGCGCGGAAAGAAAGTCAAACATTGCTAATGTATCAGCTATTGCAGCGATTGTTATAATCTTCTTGTTCGATAACCGATAGTGAGATTAAGAGTTAAAATGAACCTTCTTCCAACATAATCACTTTATCCTGTGAAACTTTTTGAAGTTTTCGGACGAGAAAAGAAAACACCCCAAACTTAATGACGTGCTGTAAGAATTATCAAACCGGTTTTTTTTGGTCTTAATTCCTATATTAAATCAAGTGCTTAGAAGTTAGGTGCTAATATAAGTTACAAGAACTTCATAGAGTACAATATTAGGTATAGCGAGAATTACGGCATTATTATATAACTACACCAGCGTGAAAAATGTTTATCGTAATATTTTTTAAAATCAAGATTGATTGAAAGATCTTATGTGCTGATCGCTACCTTCGGTTTTAATTTTGTTTGATGAATTGTGGCATCAAATCAAATGAACAGAGCCAAATTACCTCAGAGTGGCTACTTGAGGTATTAATGAAGCCATATTTGACATCGGCCTTCGTGCTGCTACGTTTACTTCATGTAAGTTCCTTTGTCCAATAAAGGTTTTAAACTCAGAGTCAAAAGATAAATTTACGCACTCTCGAAACAGTCAGATTTGACACTTGATCGTTACGTAAACTTATTTTTTTCCCCCTGCGTTGATGCCCACTATGCTATTGCCTTTTTGCTTAAGCATCGGAGTAAAACGTTTATACTACAAACACGCCAAACGAAATGTCATTGTTTTACTTTATTAATAGCTGAAAGCCTAGCAGTTTTATGATTTTCCATTTGGATAGCGACATGGTTGCGATGAACCATGCTATTCTGTAAAACAATTTTTATTTTTAGGCACTTGAATGCTATGCCGTAATATTCAAAATTTCACTATGCTGACCAAATGGAGGTTTTTTATTGTCGCGTAATTGGTCCAAGGATAAGGATTCTACTGGATATCGTTTGCTCTCCCCACAACAATAAAGTAGTGTTGCTGAGCTTACCTTTTTTCTAAAAAAATAAAAGTTGCTTTACCTTCTAGCAGAGCCTTCTTTTGGGTGTCAGCGTCTAATCAGTTGATATTAATGGTACATCAAAAGGCTGTGATAACGTGCAAAGAATTAGGAAAGCTCGTTACTAAAGATGATCAGTGTCACTATACGAGAAAAGCCTCATCAATCCTTGACTTAGCCCTGCCATTAAACCATTCATTCTAGTTGAGATAAAAATTGTGAAAAAGTATTAAAAGGGTGACTGCACATTATAAAGCAATTGCCTCACCGGAGGCTAAGCCAATAAGGTTCATTTTCTAGCAGAAGCCACACATCTCAAGTTTCCCAATTAAAGATGAAGAAAAGGGCCAAATCATAGAGTATATGAATCATCGATCGGTTATGATCTATTCATGTAAAATTTATTGAATATATAGAAGCCAACAACAATAATAATGGTCAACAACGTTTGTCTGAAGATTGTAGCGCAGCAAAAAATCTTGGTGCGGAATTTTTATTTCATTTGGGAAATTTTAAAGTTGAGTCTTAGGCATGAAGTTCGCGCTCTGGTATGCCAGCGAAATCGGGCAGCAGGCAATCATAAAAAGTTTAATTCGCGCTTTGAAAAAAAAATCGGAATTAAGTAACAAAGCTGGACTCGAACCCGGGTCTATACTAGGTCATATGTTGTATCCGGATACCCTACAGGAGAATTATGGAAAAAATGGGTGTCGAACCGAGAACCCAAAATTTCGACTTTAATCAAGGCTGTGTCACTGGTTTCAGCCGCACGTCAAATTGATGCATGTGATAAGAAGCCTATTTGGGAACCGTTGATGTTTAACCAGGGCTTTAAAAATAGAAGGAAGTAGGGCAAAGGGGAAAATGGGTAGTAAAAAAGAAAAGAGATGGCGAAGTCGGATGAGTAGTGGATAGTTGAGGTATATATTCTACACGGGGCTATATACTCCTATCAGATGGGCTAGCACTGCTTAACCATTCATCAAAAAAGAATGGTCAATCTATTATACCCCGCACACCCAGTTCTATAACTCCTAACCCACGCACCTAGCCAATAACCCACGCACCTAGCCAATAACCCACGCACCTAGCCCCCCCCCACTAAGGTTTATAAATTACAGATAACTGATATATAAAATTCCCCTGCGGAATGTTTCAAGTTGCATCAACGCGAGATATTTTGAATTTGAGATTTACTACTCGGCTAGTTCTTATCAACTTCTTTCTATTTTGTTTCTTTTGCGATTTCATCTCGGAATACAAATGCCAATGCACCAAGAGGAGTACGTACTAGTTGTTGATTACTTCTTCATTACAAGGAAAGTGTACTAACCTTTAAGCAGATTGACGGATATTTATATACATCTGAAGGATATTTTAAAGACACTCTCACAGACACCTGTTGACCGAGAGTTTTATGCCGATGGGCTCATCAATGATATGATCGTATGTTTCACGTCATTTTTTAATACCCCGCACACCTAGTTCTAGTACTAACATTCATCCAATAATAGAAAATAAAAGAGATTTTAGAGGAAAA